GGAGTGGGGTGTGTGTTGTGGGGAGGAGGGATGTTGGTGTCACTGTGATGTGGTTGCTGCAGCTTTGCTCCCAGTGCTGTGATTTCTGCCCCCCAGGTTCTGTGGTGGTGGGATGAGACCCTGTGGGAGAGGCTGAGGTGGCTTTCTGTGGTCAGTGCTGGTTGGGGCTGTTTTTAGTGCTCCTCTGGAGGGGGGTGGGGGGGGGTTCCACCAGGCAGGGGCATGAGTGTCCCACAGCCTGTGCTTGTGGTAGAGGCCACTGTGTTTTGTTTCTGCTTTTGAGCTCTGTGTTTGTGGTGACTGAGCTCAGGACATGTAGATGCTTGTGCCTTGGCAGCTTTAATTTGTGTTTTCTGTGAGCTTTTCTGGCACTGCCAGCTCTGAGTGGCAGTCCTGGGCTTCAGCCATGTGTTCAGCCTGGCACAGGTTGGGGGGCAAGGTGTGGGGGGCACACTGTGGCACAGTGATGAGCCCTCTGGGGGCAATGGGAGCAGAGGCCTTGCTCTCGTTAGCCCTTGTTAGACCTGGCGCACTAACAAGTGAGGTTCACTAGGACGTGTCCCTGTGCCAGGGAAAGGAGTGGCAGTGGCACAGAGGGGCAGCTCCTGCTATAATGCCCCAGTGCAATTCACCTGCATCACCTGTGCTTATGTGAGGTTAGCAAATGCAGTTACTGGGACGTATGCTGTTCTGAGGATGGAGGGAAAAGCTATGGCACCGACTGCACTCTAATGAAAGTACAAATGTGTAAGTGAGGAAAACTCTTGTGCCTGTAAAGAACTACACCTCGTCCTGGCTTGCTGTGATTTTAGTCTATAGGTACTAACATAAATATTGTTGTATTCTTCTTGTATTTGAAAACTGTGGTGTGTTCTAATGCTGTACATTCTTACTCCTGTGATGCAAACATCACCTTCACCTGTTTGTCCAAAGTGTTGTAATGGCCGTACTCTCTCTAGCGCTACACTTCAGTGGGGACCTGCAGTGTGTCTGTATAATATAACTAGGATTGCTCCTGTGATTTTATTTCTAAACTCATGTTCATTGGGAAGTGAAAGGGCTGGTGGTGTACCGATCTGCTCTCATGGAAGTTGCTCATGAGCCAATGATGCGGCTTTTGAAAAATAAAAAAAAGACTTGTATTTGCAGTGTAGGAGAGAAGGAACTGTCCTTCACTTTGCAATTAGGATAGGATGAAGGGGGGTATTTCTACTGTTTCTTTACAATGTAAACACTCACCTTGTCAAATACACAAACCTGCTGGTCGCTCTGAGCCTCACTGCCTTCACAAATCTCTCCCTGTAAATAACTGGAGCAACAGCCAAGCAGGACTAGGAAACTGCTGTTTCCTGTAAGCAAGGCCAGCTGTTGGGTTACTGAGGATGTTTCAGGGAACAATGGGTGCAATTACTG